AAAACTTACGTGGTAATCTGTGATCAACGTGGAAATGTTACTCTGACGTACAGCTGCACTCAAATCATTCACTTGTTGCTCTGTCATTTTAACATGATAAAGGTTCAGCGTCTTCAGGTGAGGAACACGGCTGAGATGTCGAATGAGAACACTTACTCCTTCACCAAGAGGGTTTTGTGTCAAGTTGAGCACGCCCAGGTCAGGAGCCTGGGGCAGAGATCTGACCATGGCTGCAGCAGGTTTGGCTGTTAAATTGATCCCAATAAGTTCTAATATGTGAAGTCTGTCAGTGAAGATGATACGAGACAACAGGGCCTCTATCAACTGAGCATCAATGATTTCAAAGGGTTTCCCAACAATAATTATACATCGCAGAGAAGTGAAAAGTGGTAAGAAATCAGCCAATATCTTCACCTCTTGCCTTCCCATGTCGTCAATATGAATCGTTTTCAAACAGGAAAGGCTCTGAGGAGTCGGACCAGTGATGCTATCAGTGTTCTTAGTAAAAAACGAAGTTGTTTCGCTGTCGTGTTCATTCAACGAATCACCAACACGCTTCACCTCAGTAGACTCTTCTGTTGGCGAAATGAGCTCTCGCAGTATTTCAGTCGGAAAAGTGTCAACTTCTTCTTTCCATATTCCATAAACATAAACGATGATTTTTCTCTCTCTTTTCAAAACGAAATGTTCCAAAGGACGATATGGGATCTTCTTCAGTACATCTGCGGCTTTCTTTTCGCCCGAACAGCTTAAAAAAACAGCATTTGTGTCCTCCGCTACAGTGATCAAGTCTCGAAAGCTTTTCTCTGAATACCCTTCGTAGGCAGGAAAAAAGATAAAGTCGGGTATCACGGCAGATTTCAGCAAATGTTCATTTGCAGTAAGGTTCAGCTGGTCAGGATTAAGAAACAAAACACCTCCAGTGTAAGAGGGAAACGCTGAGCAGAGATCTCGCCTCTTTTCGGCCGAACAAAAAATGTAGCTATGCGAGATAAGCTCTAGATAAAGTTTTTCCTCTGTAGACGGTTCTTCATCCTTAAAATCACGTTCCGACAAAGATTCCTTTCTTCCAACAGACCCTACATGATGGAAAACTGCGCACGCGGCTTCTGTTGACAGCTCACAGGCAAATTTGAGAACTTCATTCATCTTCACGATCTTTTCAAATGATTCAACTTTGGAAAGGCTAGGCGTACTTTCTCCTTTAATCGACAACACCTCCTCCTTAATGTGCCAGGCTGCAAGGAACTCCTGTACGGATTTATGAATGAAATAGGCCCCTTTCTCAGGATTGAGACTCGTAAGATTGACAATCTGGAAAAGCCCAATTTTACTTAATTTTTCAAAACTTCTTGAAATATTGCCGGGGAGTTTGCTGCAGCGTACGTAAAGACAGTCTTGCAGAAGTGCTTCAAAGGCAACCTTTCCAAGATTACTCAGGTCTTCTCTGGCTTCTGTGGAGGTCACTTTCTGAAATGGCATAGGCTGGTGACTTTCACCTTTGTGATCTAGCATAGTTTGAATGAATTGTGTGAATATGTCGGCCCGTGATTTTGGCAGTCCTTCGTGATGTTTCTCTTTCCACAAAAGGCACAGCATTAGTAGAAGGAGAGGTACTTCTGCCATGTCAAGGAGATACTTTTCTTTCAGGTAGGACATGAACTCGTCAAGATCATCTTCACCGGCCAAAAACTTTCTCGCAAAGGTTTCGATTTGTTCCCCGCTTTTGAAACCGTGAATCTCTAACTGAACGTGGCTGGGGCCTCTTAACTGGTCACATTTAAGTTGACGCGTGGTGACAATAACGTGACAATCTCTCAGCTGCTCGCCCTTCCAAATTTCAAGGATGGGTGAGTGTTCTTTTGCACAGCTGTACTCATCGTAGCCATCCAAAATCAGAAGCACCTTATCTTGATTTTTAATTATGTAATCATAGAGACTATCAACTGAGATTGGACCATCACTGGCCAGCAATTTAGACGCACGCAAAACATCAGGGATGTTACTTACGTCACACACATCTCGCAACTTAATCAGAATCAAAACAAAAAAGTTCTTTAGGATTTCTTTTAAGGCTTTCGACCAATCATACGCAGCCTTTTTACAAAACGTACTCTTGCCAATTCCTGGCCGACCATAAACAAGCGTTCGTTTATGTTCTCCCTTGAACATGTCGGTGTAGTCTTCAAGTTCTTCTTGCGTCACTCCGCTGGGCTTCCTGTGATCTCTGACCCAACTCAAAGGTGTGTAGATCTCATCAATCTGAATGGTAGAGCTGTCGTCCCATGGAACGATTTTCACCTTACTGAAGGTGTCATAATAAGATTTTAGCTTCTCTTGGCACTTCTCAGCATTAAACGGTCCTGAAAATAGAGAAAACAAACATAAGCTTTTATTGCTGGGATGAGTAAGCATACAACGCCAAGTTTTCAAAACCACACGAACTCTTGCCTGCAGAACAGACGCAATTTTTTTGGCGCTTTTCAGTCAAACGGAGGAAAGGGCGGGGCGAGCGCAAAGTCCGAATTAAGTGCGAGGGGAGAAGCTCCAAAACAATATCTTCTTTTCATTTTATGATTGATTATTAATTTTCGGAATTGAAGCAGCTGAAGTAAACCAAAAGAAGGATAACAAATTGTTATAATAAAAGAATAAGGAAATATGTTTTATCATCTTCCCACGAGCGTTGGACAAAAAAAAATCGAGTCCTCCCCAGGAATAGAACCTCAGACCTTTGGATTCTGCGCTCAGACACTCCATTACTATAAGTATAAGATAAGTTATTAAAACGTAAGCTTAATATGAAATTTCTTCGTTTGATAATTACAATACCTGCAAGTTTTCTACGTTTATTTTCTGAAGGATCATCACTTTTAGAGCCCTCCTCCCCTGTTGAAATGTCTGAAAAGAGAAAATAAATTTACACTGTTATGAGAATTAAAATACACTGACGAATATGATACTGAAGGGATGAATATGCACACGACGTCAAGTTTCTAACATCGCACGAGTCAAGTACAGTCTTCTTGGCATGAAACGATTAAGATAATGAAAAAAAACACCCAGACTCTGTTCTTTTATTTTTCCCTTTGCCTGTAACTCATCTTAAATCGCAGGGAAGATTGAATTTCCAGCATTTATTTCATCATGGATCAACAATGTTGGGAAATGAAGCGGCCAAAATAACACAAAAAAAGTTCATGAATTTTTATTTCTTAAAATTGAACAATTCTGTTTCTTGAACAAGAATGACAAATTGGTATAAGAAAAGGGAAAGGAAAGAAGTGTTACTGTCTTGTCGCGAGAGTGAAAAAAAAAAAGGAAAAATTTTGAGTCCTATCCAGGTATAGAACCTAACACCTTCGGATTCTGCGCTCGGACACTCTACCACTATAAGTATAAAGTCAAATTGTAATGAGAACACACTTTACTAAATTTGTGAAATAGGTAACAAGCAGGAGTCGAAATAAGAGCTGATTGAAGATGAAAATCTTGTGTGAGCCTGATCACGGAACAAAAAAGAGAGAAGAGAAAATGATGGATTTGGAGAATTGAAATTCATTGGGAGGAAATAAAAGCTAAGATTTAGATCTCAACAAAGTTTTAAACCGCTCAGTAATAGTAAGGAATTTCGTAGAAAGGTAAACAAAGAAAATTTGGGTTCATCTTACTGCGCACAAGAGTCTGGACACGAAAACAATAATTAGGAGGGCAGTGGGAGGGAGTAGTTGATAAACGTGTTTAATCAGCGATTTGTAATACCTACAATCTAGGACAAAGAAAATAGATTTAAGACTTATTAAATACAATAAAGATGCAGGAGTGAGTAATTTCTTATTAACCCTCTCTAATCTGGAATTTTAGAACGTTATCCATGACTTCAAAATTGGAATTAAAGCTACCAAAGTGAATTTGTTCCTATCTCAGACTTTTTGAAAGTTCTTTTTCACAGCAATGCGATTGAAAAACAAAGAATGCGTATGTTTTTCATTTTTCTGATATACATTTATTTCCACTGTTGGTCTTCATGTTCTCATCAGCAGATAACGATATTCTATACCAAAGACAACAAGCGTCTCCTGATGAATTTGTTTCAAGGCCAGTTCGTGCCATTGCATTATGTATCCCTACTGTGCATCATTTTAGACGAAAAATGCACGCCCATCTACGCGAATGGAAGATTTCTTGTTCTTTTTTTTCTGCAAGGAAGAAGAATTATGACCGCCACGTAAACGGACTTGGCGACCTACCATTCATATCTCTTGTTTGCAATCGAGCAAGACGCTTGAAAAAAATATTTTCCATACGATAAGCAACTTGGGGGAAAGCACGTGCACAGTTGTATCGCATTCTTAACAAATGTTAAAAAAATTGGAACAGATTTTCTCGGTCAATAGATAAGCTTGTACATAGCCTTGACGATTTTCCTTTTCCCGTTAAAAGTTTTAAGGTTTTCCCGTCGTTTAGGGCCATTTCATTACGCATACCTACTTGTTACAAATATCGTTTTATAAGCGATAAGAAGGCCCTCGTACACAAACTGAATTTTTTTTTTTTGGAGTTTGGTGACCTATCATTTACATGTCTTTTTAAAATTCGAGAGAAATACTTGGAAAAAACTATCCCTTATGTAAAATAAACAGCCAGTGTAAAAAGACAGAGTCGTTAAAAAAGGAAGTTTGCTGCGGTATTTCCTGTATCTCTGCATTCTAGTAGGTGAGCTATTTGCTCTCCAGCAAACTGATACTGAGTTACCAAATTATCGGAAAATTTGTCTCTGATGAAAAAAACTCACCAGTTCGTTTCTTAAATTCTATGGATTTCAAAGCCTAAAAAGCTGGAGGAAATAGCGGCAACCTTACGCATATACAAACGCATTAAATGATCCTCCTTCGCTTTGATTTGGTTACCCACAAATGAAGCGACACTTTCTTGTTGCGAGGCACTGTTAACAACGAACACAGAAGATACAGTGGCCAAAAAGCCTGACGTCTGAGAATTTAGGCACTATACTTGTATGTAATTGCATTTTTATTGAATTGCAAGATAAGGGATACATTACCAGTAATAAGTTGCTCAGCTAAATCTGTGCGATTAACCAATGGATGACACAGTGCATCATGTAGGATCGTGTATGTTGCAGTTGAGCCATTCCTCTTTTTCCAATGTAGCAACATTTTGTAGATTTTTTCAAAGAATTCCCGATTTTCATTATCAAACGCCGTTAATCTTGCATCCTCAATTTCTAGACGACGCCCGACTGCCTTCCAATTTTCGAGTTTCTGCGAAAGCCACTCTAAATCTTCGTCGCTGGGAACTCCTTGCTTCACTAAAAACATAAAGACATCACAGCAATGTATCAAGATGAGGGGATAGCGAGTAGTACGTATCGCAACTATTCATACCATTTTGCTGGATCCACGCATTTTTATTTTACAAAAGCAGGGAAAAGGAAGATGGGGTTGAAGGGTGGGGGTTAACGGGCACGCCCATAGATATGTCCTCATTTTACCTCTTATCTTTGGAGTTAAGGCGTCACTCGGAGACCACTCCTCATCACGGCGTTTCACCTTTGACCGACGCGAATGTTTAATAGAACCACCCGCATTATAACAAATGTAAGAAAAAATTAATCTGACCAGATTTTTTGAGCCAACAGATTTATTGTAGTAATGGACCTTTCTCCTTTCCTCATGAAACGTCTCCTTATGAATTTGTTTTAAGAACAATTCGCGCCATTGCATTCCCTACTGTGCATCATTTTACACGAAAAATGCACACCCACATACGCGAACAAAAGATATCTTGTTATTTTTTTTCAGCCAGTAAGAAAAACTGTCATCGCCATGTAAACGGATTAGGTGACATACCATTTACATCTCTTGTTTGCAATCGGAGAAAAGCTCTAAAAAACGTTTTTCCATACAATAAGCAACTCTAAATCTTCTTTGCTGGGAACTCCTTGCTTGACTAAAAACATAAAGACATCACAGCAAAGCATCAAGATGAGAGAATAGCGGGTACTACGTACCGCATCTATTCCTACCATTTTGCTGGATCCACGCACTTTTATTTTACAAAAGCAGGGAGAAGAAAGATGGGGTTCGGGGGGTGGGGGTGGGGGTTAACAGGCATACCTATAGATATGTCCTCATTTTACCTGCTAAACGAGTGTTTCTTTTCTTCGGAGTTAAGGCGTCACTCAGAGACGACTCTTCATTACGGCATTCCGCCTTTGACCGACGAAAATGTTTAGTAGAACCACCTGCATGATAACAAATGTTAAAAAATCATTAGACAAGAACATATTATTTCAGCCAACAGATTTATTGTAGCAATGAAGCTTTTTCCTTTTCTAATGAAACGTTTCCTGATGAATTTCTTTCAAGACCAATTGGTGCCATTACATTATGCATCCATATTGTGCATCGTTTCACACAAAAAATCCACGCCCGCATACGCGAACAGAACATATCTTGTGCTTTTTTTTTCAGCCAGTAAAACTGTCATCGCCACGTAAACGGATTTGGTGACACATCATTTATATCTCTAGATTGCAATCGAGCGAAAAGCTCTAAAAAACTCTTTTTCATACAATAAGCAACTTGGGATCCACGCATTTTTATTTTGCTAAAGCAGGGAAAGGGAAGATGGGGTTGGGAGGTGGCGGTTAACGGGCGCGCCCATAGATATGTCCTCATTTTACCTGCTAAACGAGTTTTTCTTTTCTTCGGAGTTAAGGCGTCACTCGGAGACGACTCTTCATCACGGCGTTTCACCTTTAGCCGACGCAAATGTTTAGTAGAACCACCTGCATGATAACAAACGTCAAAAATTATTGGACCAGATTTTTTAACTTAACAGATTCATTTTAGCAATGGAACTTTTTCCTTTCCTCGTGAAACGTCTCATGAGGAATTTGTTTCAAGGCCACTTCGTGTCATGCATTATGCATCCCTACTGTGTATCATTTTACACGAAAAATGCACGCCCACATACGCAAACGGAAGATTTCTTGTTCTTTTTTTTTCTGCCAGGAAGAAAAATTATGATCGCCACGTAAACGGACTTGGTGACCTGCCATTCATATCTCTTGTTTGCAATCGAGCGAGAAGCTTGAAAAAAATATTTTCCATACAATAAGAAGCTTAGGGGAAAAACAAAGGCATTCACTAAAAATGAAAATTTGTAAGGGCACTTGTAGCACGTGCACAGTTGTATCGCATTCTTAACAAATGTTAAAAAAAAATTGGAACAGATTTTCTCGGTCAATAGATAAGCTTGTACATAGCCTTGACGATTTTCCTTTTCCGCTTAAAAGTTTTAAGGTTTTCCCGTCGTTCAAGGCCATTTCATTACGCATACCTACATGTTACAGATATTGTTTCATACGTGATAAGGAGGCCCACGTACACAAACTGAATTTTTTTGGGATCAATATTTGTTTCTGGGCAACCGAGCTCGATATCGATTTGTCGTACTCGATTACCATTCCTGCTCGTGATAAGGAGGCCCAGCAAACGACGGATCAATATTTGTTTCTGGGCAACCGAGCTCGATATCGATTTGTCGTACTCGATTACCATTCCTGCTCGATAAGCAAACGACGTTTGATAATCGAGCTCGATAACTACAAGTCGAGCTCGATCGCTAATCGAGTACGATTACTAATCGAGCTCGATTATCAAGATGACAAGATTAATCAAGATGACAACTTCTACCTGATAAGTTTGAGTATTCTCATCACCTGTTTGCTAAATGATGTATAAGTGTTATTTATAGGGAGAAGTTACATGTCAATCACTTCTGGGAGTTAAAAAGTTATCAATAAGGCTGTAAGGATTTTCTGCTAAGATCTTGACTAAAGAACATCACTATCTCTTACAAAGAAAAAAAAATTGAAATACTTAAGAGGTTGTCTCTCTTATTTCCACCCGGTCAATTTCATGTCAAAAATAATTTTCCCTGATATATAGGGGTCAGAATATGTTAAAGTTTGCCTTTTCAAATATATGGAGAGGGAAATTCTAACTTTCTTAGCAAACTAGAAAGGTTGTTAAGGGATCTGATATAAATGTCGTGGCTTAACTATGCAAATCAAATATTTTACAATGTTACAAAATATGCGTATTATTCAATTTCCGAGATGTTGTGATAGTCCCTACCAACTGGTGAAATAATTATGGCCCCTAATGCAGCCAGAAAATTATTTCAAATCAAACCAAATCTAACTTAGTTCTTTCCTAAGTATAGTCTTTCTGTTGACAGAGTTTAAGGTGAAATTGGCAGGGTGGAAATAAGAGAGATGGCCTCTTAAGCCGTAAAGATCTAATTCTGGATGCCTCAGAATTCCTTGTTAGTTGTCAGTGTAGATGGGCTAGATGTCACCAAGGCTACATTTTAATAGTGAGACAACTCAACATTTTGCAACTCGCTAAGGCCAAAGGAACATCCAGTGACAGACAAAAATCCTCATGTTTACAAGCAATTAAGTACTTTTCCCAAGCTGCAAGCCTAAATATTCAGCTGAGTGTTTTGTCTTTAGGAATGAGAGTTTGAAAAACACAGTTTAGTACCCATATTACTTTGCTCAGAAGTATTACCTCCAGCTCGAGGTTTTCGAGATACAAGTTTGCTTTAAAAGGTTGCTACTTTTGGTTAGTTCGGTAAGAAGGAAAGGAATTGCGTTGCACAGTGGTTGAATGGTTTATAAAATCTTGCTCTAAACCAGAAGTTGTTTTATTTGTTTTTAAAAAAGTATACATATATCACTGCACGTTCATCTAAAAGTGACACAAGTTTATCTAAAAGTGACACAAGTATTCCCCTGCGTAGTTAACCATAAAAATTTTACATTTTACAATAAACTAAGGATTACCAAAAGTTTGTTCTTGTCTGTATTAAGTCCCATTCCAGCGAAGTTTAAGTTTAAGTTTAAGTTTATCCTTCTATACCCGAAATGACTACACCTGACCTGGGGTTTTCGTGCTTTGGGAAAATTTCTGTTTCCAATACATTTGCTCCCACTTCCTTTTACACCTTCCCTTTTAATGCTATCTCTGAAACTTAACGAAAACTTACGAAATACTCACCTAATGACCAAGGTTCTTGCAACAACACTACCTGCCATCGTCCTCCTCAATCAGTGTTTGACTCTTTCCCAGTCTTTCTCGTTAGTACTGTAACCGAGCTCGATTAGTTGGCGTACTCGATTAGCAATCGAGCTCGACTTGTAGTTATCGAGCTCGATTATCAAACGTCGTTTGCTTATCGAGCAGGAATGGTAATCGAGTACGACAAATCGATATCGAGCTCGGTTGCCCAGAAACAAATATTGATCCTTTTTTTTTTTGGAGTTTGGTGACCTATCATTTTCTTGTCTTTTTAAAAATTGGAGCAAAATACTTGGAAAAACTATCCTTTCTGTAAAATAAACAGCCAGTGTAGAAAGACAGAGTCGTTAAAAAAGGAAGTTTACAACGGTATTTTCTCTATCTTTGCATTCTAGTGGGTGGGCAAGTTGCCTTCCAGTATACTGATATTGACTTAACTATTCATCGAAACATTCACCTCTGATGAAAAAAACTCACCAGTTCGTTTCTTACGATCAACGGATACCAAAGCCTAAAAGCAGGAGGAAATACTGGCAACCTTACGCTTATAGTTGGCAGTTAAGTATTGAGTGAATTTTGCGCTATCAGAAAACTATATGAAAAAAAACGTAACAAATGATCTTTCTTCGCTTTGATTTGATTACCGACAAATGAAGCGACACTTTTCCAGTTTCGAGACACTGTCAACAACATACATAGGAGATACAGTGGCCAAAAAGCATAGTGTCTGTGAATTTAGGCACTATACTTGTATGTAATCGTATTTTCATTGAATTGCAAGATTAGTGATATATTACCAGAGATAAATGGTGCACAAGTTGGCTATACTCTAAAGGATATTAATGCAGGTCGAAATTCCAGTAGGGATACTGCATAGAAGGCCAAAATGAAAGCAAAAGCAAACAGCGTGATAAATGTTCTCTTCCCTACATCAAAGGGAACATTAATCTTTAGGTCTTCCATTAGTGTGCATGGAGACTAAACTTCTTCCCACCTCTAATTTGCCCCAATGAACATAAAGTATTGTCCATGTTCATTCAATAATTTTGAAATATATAACGTTCATCATTTTCTAAATAATTTCCCTTGATGACAGCGCTCTCCACGAAGGGATCATGTGCTACAGAGACAATTCATGAAACTTTAACCAACAAGGTTTCATGTCTAAAACCACAAATTTGCTCCCACATAAATCGCAAGTTCATAAGGGTTAGCATCCATTTCTAACAGGAGTTTATCATAGGATTACCCTTACTTTGAGTAACGTGAATCAAATATTCAGTTAGCAATGATAATTTGGTTTCATTAACTGACGTAATAATGCAAATTTGCCACCGTAAAGCTGATGTTTCGAGTGTTGGCCCTTTGTTGGACTGATTAAAGGAATGTGGGTTGTGTGTGGTTTATAAAATGGGGGTTGCGCTGATGAAGGGGGAAGGCAGGAGTTTCTAGGTGTATTATTGGGGGGTTGGGGGGTCGGTGGTCTTCTTCCCAGAGGGAAAATACTATCAAAAGCTTGAAAACATCCCACCATCAATCTTTGTGGAAAGAAAATTAGAGTTCCTGTATGTTGAATTGACGTCAACGTCATTATCTTAAAGCCAAGTGCAACATACATGATCAGAGCCTGTGAAATTGCTGACGAACATGTAAAATTTCTGATCCAAGAGCTGATCTGATTAGTCACCGCATGATCATAGGTCATTAATCATGTTTTCAATTCAGTTTTGGTACTCAGTTCCAGCACATTTATAAAACACAAAACTAAACAGCATACAAGACTATACTACAGGCCAAAAAAGATAAAAGTTGATCTGTTTACCTTTGTAATGTGGCCAATCTTCAAAAATACTGCATTCCTTTAGAATGCTGACAACAAGAGAAGCTGCTGTTACACTTGCAAATGTTTGCCAGTTTTCTTTTGATTCAGTTCCATCTGCATATCCTGAAATACCCTTGATGACAACCCACTCCATTTTCAGATCATGTGCTGCACTGAAAATACCTGAGACATACAACAACAAGCTATTATGAATAAAACAAAAGGTATTCTCCAACATCTATTAATTTTAACCTTTCCCATTGTTACAATTGTTATCAAAGATTTGTAAAGAACTAGAGATATATTTTGGAAAGTCACCTTACATATACAATTTGCAGAGCTAGTAACTGTAGCACAAGCTTCTTCCAGGTCCCATACCATTCAGCCACTAAGACTGTACTCTTATTCACTCCACATGTATATGAAATACTGGTCAGTTCATCAGTAGCCATCTATACTCCTGGATATAGAGACACACTGTGAGAGTAAAGCCTCCCAGCCAAGACTAGAACACAATCACTTTAGCCCAGGGCTTGAACCCAGACCTCTTGATCTAAAGTCCAGTATGTTCACACACAAGCCAGTGCATCTCTCAACACTTGCAGAAAAGCTTACTTACAACATATGAGTATCAACTCTTTCTTTCCAGGATACAAATATACCCAAATATCTCTTTAAGCAGATTTTACAGTAACAGTTACTTCAAAGGAAAAAGAGATCTTACCCTCTCCTTCTGTTTCAATTGCAATTGCTTCAGGAAATGACTTCACTAGTTCCTCTCGTCGCCATTCAGCTTGCACGACCTCAGTACCACTCAAAACCTCACCACAGAGGACTTCAACTTTCCTCTCTTTAGGATTTTCTAAGGGTGGATTCCAACCATGACCTGCACATTCAATGAGTTCAGCAATGTCTCTGCTTACAGGAGTTGTGAACCCACAAAATTTCTTTCCATCCTTTGTAACCTTCTGGTAGGAATAGGTTGTGAGCTTTTCTGATAGAACCACATCCCCAAGCTTTGTTGATTCCTGATTCATACCACTACAGTGGCCCACAGAAAAGACAGCTTTTGGCCTCAGCTGAGTGACAGCATTTTTTACAACAGTCAAAGCACCACCAGGAACTTTACAACCCTCTGAGCATTTCATCAAAGCTACTTTCAGTTTAACATCTTGATCTTCACCAAAGCTGCCAAAGTACACACGACCAAGCCCTTTAAAGTAGCTTCTATATGGATCATTAATGTAATGGTAGCAACTTAAGAATTCACAGTCCTTCACTGTTAACAACAGAATGTCAATTGGGAGTTGAACATCCTTCCATCGTTTAGAATCCTGGGTTAGTTCACTTATCTCTGGAAGACTAATATTGACCTTTGGTGGGTCACCATAAATGTTCTTTGAACTGCTCTCATCAGTTCTCACAGTTTCTGACATTGCCAATCAGCTCCTGAAAATAAAAGCAATACAGAAACATATAAAAACTAGATTTTAATCAATTGAATTCACCATATTTAAGCCTGGACACAATAACTATCCTCCAGTCCTGCCCATTTAATCAATGTTTAATTCATGCAACTGTAGAAGTTAATGTTAATTTATTTTGGAACAGAATTATATTAAAGATAATCTGCTTCACTGCAGAAATCTACTAAGACAATCATTTTAAAATCATTAGTCATAATAACTGAAAAATACAAAATCAATCATAGTGGGTGTCAAAGCCAAAATACAAATATAGATTTGTGTTTTTTTATGAGCTTGTACCAAATAGATGTAAAATTACAGGCAGATATGAATAATCACATCTGGTGGCAAACATCAAAGAAAACTGGACACATCTCCAGTTTGTACAACTAAGCTTATACTGTACTCAGATCAAAACATATGATAAAGAATATCAACCTAAGGTCTTGTCCCAAGCCCAATGCACAGAGGTTGCATAAATTAGTTATTTTTCTAGTTTAACATCCTTTTCTTAAAGGCAGCCAGTTATATATTTGACACTGTTTTGAAACAGATTCTTATCAAAGCCCTGGGTGATAATTTTTTGTGTTTGGGTGGTTGATTCAAGTTAAAATGATCAATTTGTTTAGAAAGTGTTACATGACTGTAACAGTCAAGGGTGACAAAGGAAACAGAACAGTTGAAGCAAAATTCCAGCATGTGTGTCGAACACTGTGATGGTCTTAGCTTTAACCAGTGACTGATACTGATTAATTTTTGATGAGTGACAAACGAGACAGGACTGCTAGTGTGCACAGCTGTAACTGTTTCCACAGCCCAAGCATATGATGGTCTTCAATTAGCCACTGATACTAATTTATTTTTGATGGGTGAAAAGTAAACAGTAGAGTGTGTGTAGAACCATTCCCACAGCCTATGCATATGACAGTCTTTAGTCAGAGAGAAAGAGAGAGCCTGAAAACAGGCTTTAACAAATAATCCTCAGAACAGTGTTGTGGGAAAGAAAACCAGCTGCCAAAAAGCTAAAAATTTACCAGTTGGGGATCACATAGAACCCAACATTTTCCATTGTTGAGCACTGCTTATTTAACAGTGTCAACCATGAAAATGGGAAAATTGACACCAAAAATAGGCCACAAAAATTGGCATCTACTGATTGCTTAATGAGTATTAAATAATGAACTGATCTTCTGCAAATTGGTAACAGGAATAAAGAGCTGTGAAGTCAGGAAGTGAATCAAAGCATTAACACTTGATGAGGCAATTGATATCATCAGTGCTGGAAAAATATACACCATTGAGCTGAAGAACATAGACTTAAGGAGCTGTAGAAGCACCCTTAAGTATGGTCAAGAATCAAAAAAAGAAATCTGACACCACACAAAAGGTACTAATGCTGAGACTGTGCATGTCACTGGCACAAATGTAACAAGTGTCACAAAAAAAATTATTTGTTACAATCTTCACAGCCTTTGTTAGCAATGAAGGAGATAAGATAACAAGGGAAAATTTTAACTAGGAACTGTGTCAAAGATATCTGCCAAGACTTACAATCAAGTTGAAGAATCAGATGATGATATATATATATATATAATTATATCATATACTCAGAAGCAGACAGTGATCATACCAAATACTTGGTGGAGCCTCAGCTAAGGGAAGGTGTGAGCTGTGAGTGGACAAAACCATGCAAACAGATCATACTAATTATGAAAGGATACAAAAAGCATTAAAAACAGATCAAGCCTGGAAAACATCCAAGCTGTCTTAAAACCCACCAGTAAACTTTTCTCTACACATGTATGTGCAAGGTTTATCGTGAAATTGACATGGCTTAATAAGCTCGAAAATTTTGAAAAATCAGCTATAAATTGCTAGGAAATAAATGAATGAAGTTCTTATTTATTTGAAGTAAGGCTGTTTCTGGCTTTTTTTATGGCTTGGTAATACAAAAGAGTGCTACAAAAACAGCTACTTCAATCAAGGCAGCAGGAGATTAAAATGGTTTGCTTGAGCATAATATTATCCATTGTGATATATTAAAGTAATAAAACACCTACAATGGTTATTTGCTGTAATTGATGAGAATGATCAGCATTGAAAATCGGTTCAAATCTGAACCATTTTATCTGCAATGATGATTAGTGTATGGGTCGCTTAAGGAGTGATGCACAACTGGAGGAGAAGGAGTTGAGTGGCCACTAGAAAAACCTTTTCACTTGACCAAGGGATTTCCTCATGTTCCTCATCACTTATTCCTTGTTTGCCCTGTGGCAGTTCCAGAAATCTTTGCACAAACACAAGTATCTGATTACTAGAAACTCTTTCACTGGCCAACTCCAAATGAGTGGAACAAAATCTGAGTACATGTAATCTTAGTTTTGTTTTGATTCTGTGAATTGTCTGTAATGTACCTTTATTCCTGAATGTTCTTAGCTTACAATGCTATGTCATGCTAGTACTTGTTTACATATAAAATGGAATATGATGTTATCATACAGAATGTTGAAATGTTAAACGCAACACTGGTGTACAATGTATCCCTACACATGTACATGTACTGTGTAATGGAGCTCAAATCAAGTAGTTGTGGTTATCAGTTGATATACTCTGTTGCAGACTAGAAGCTCTAATGCCAGCTGAAGGCCTATTTATTATCAATATTATCATCATAATTATTATCTAAAAAATTTATTAACAGACCATTCAACACAGAAAAACATGCCTCAGTTAATCCCTAAGATGTCATGTTAAGGTTATGTTATTCCTCAGTTTGCACTGCACTGCACATACTGTATAGCACATAAAAATCACATAATCAGGGGAATGAGCATCGGCGCAGTCCGAGAACACGGTATTGTTTTTCAATCCATGGACCAGGTGAAGAGAAACAATGGTCTTTGGCTCTTGAACAAGCATGGTGACCTATATTATTTTTGCATAATTTTGGTGTACAATTTGTCCCCTTTAAATTGGGGAAATTAAAAAAAAATTCTTGGAAGGGAAAAAAAATAGAACTAAAAGCGTGTATGAAGCCTGTTACTCAAGGGTTCAAATTATGACCTTGAAAAAATGACGCAAGAAACGTTTTGAGCTGATATTTTGCTTAAATTTAAGTGATTTTCCCACAGATTATATGTCAAATTGTTCCATATCCTCAAGACTTTCTACCTGTCAATTTTTATTCAAGTGTTGCTTTAAAAACCCTTGAACCACTGAAATGACGCGTGTGATTGGTGCCAGTGCAGGCATAAATGAAGCAGGTTTGGCCCGTTACATCTCCGAAAAAAACACAGTTACCTATCTTTTTTATTGTATTTTTCAAAACAGACATTGGTAGGGAACATTTAAGGAGGTATAAAAAAATTGTTTGATAACTTTCTTCTGAGGAATCACCTCAAAAGAGCTTGCCAAAATTTGTGCATCTTCAAATTTTTTCACTAGGATGTCTAGCTTCACATTTAGTCATCTGGGCTTAAAGTTTATTTTAACATCAATCATCATTATTTGCATCATCATGATTGGTCTCAATTGTATCTCCAAATGATATCTACAAATTTACACAATCAGATTATTTTGATACAATGAAAGTCTTTGCTTGAAATTATGTTAAAGATACATGTAGTAGTTAAATGCATGTTATTCCTATTGTTAGTTTTATAAAAATTGATAACAGAAAATCCGACCAACCTGTGAAAAAATACTTCTGTAAGTCCACTTCAGTATGATTAGCTTAATCACAGCAATGATCCTCACCAGCCTGGTTAATTCTGTTAAGAAAAAAATATTAATTTTTTTAGGACACAAAATGAGTATTGTAGAGCTGAGCTTAGTGAATACTGGCTACATTATTGTAAATAATTCTATAGAAAGATAAGTGCAAACTGTTGTTTTGCAGATCTTGTACACTTGTATTTCAAACTTATTCTTAATATTTACTTTACTGTGCTGTGTAACCATAACCTAAAACACTCAAAACTTATCGTAATGACATTAATAAACCTTCATTTTGAACAACAAAAGAGTAAGTTAATTCTGGTCAGTTATTTAACTTCCAGCACAGTCTTTTGTTGCTGCAGATTTCTGGTTTGCATAAGGGAAATATTGGAGCTACATCTGCCTCAAGTTGTGTTTACCATGCCCCCAAGAGTTATAGTCATGTCACCCTAGTGTGTGGTTATGTTGCCCCATGATAGATTGCCTGAGGTGGTTGACTACTGGTACTTTTCATGATATCATCAAGAACATTCTAAAGTCACAAGCTCATCAATTCTTAATTCAGTCAATGGACTTTTTCGATGGCTCCTAAAGAAACTGTAAGCAGCACGTTTCAATACTTTTGCCTTTCTTACATGGTGTGGTGTTAAAAAGTAATTTTCATCCAAAATAAAGAGGAGTGTGTACCTTAACAGTTATAAATCATAAAGAAACTTTAGAGCCAGACACATAGTTGTTGATGACTAAACATTAGAGCCAGACTCATAATTGATGATGACTAGTGGATTACTGACCAATGAAACTTCATTGTCTCTAGATTATGCTAATGTGGGGAAATGTCTAGCTGCACTAGAGCCTGAATATAGCCAGACATTTGAACCAGACATGGGCCTCACATCAACTGGACAAGAGCCAAACTGGACACTTCAATAGAGAGCCTAACAAGAACCTGACACAGCATAAAATGAGCAGTAATCAACTGGGCATTAGAGCCTGACACTCAGGCTGACTAGAGCAGTAAGCTGGACATAAAAAATTGTTCAAAATAGGAAAAGGAGCCTGACATGAGCCAGGCATTAGCCTGACAGCACAAAAATAATTAGTAATGAAGTAACTGCTTAAAAATTCCACCTTCTTTTGGCCCATTTATTAGGTTGCAAATTTGATCTACCTTTAGTTATTAAACATTTATTCAATCGAAGTAAAGGCATGCTATCATTCTTACTTTAAGACTTTGAATCCTCGAAAACCACTTTCCA